CGTGGGGTCGGTACCAGCGGGTGCTGCCTTGCCTGGACTTTGGTCCTGGCCGGTGCCCTGTGCCAAGAAAACCAGGGGCCGACTGTGGGCATGGAGCCTTGGGAGCCGGCCATGCGTGGAGCTGGGGCCAGGCCTGCCCTGCCCGCGGTGAGTGGGTGGAAAGGCCGAGACGCTCGGCAGGGTGCACCTCCCTGCTCTCCATGGCCCCACGGGTGAGCAGCAGGGCTGGACTGGGGGCCAGAGAGCCCTCCCCTGTGTCCCCAGCACTTCCCGTGGGCCATGCCGGGGTGGGGAGGGAACCACCCGCTCCCAATCTTGGCTCCAATATTTGCTCTTCCAGCTCCCAGCAGGATCCTGCTTTGAGGCAGAGCTGGGCTTGTTTGGAGCTGTTTGCAAGCCACAAAGCCTCAGCCGCGCTCTTGGCAGCCGCCTGCAGCTCGCTCATGCTGGTGCAGCCCTGGGAGGGGAGAAAGGGGTGAGCAGGGTCTCTGGCTGCAGGTCCCCATGCCGTCTTGTGGGAGCGTGCGACGCCAGGCGCTGTCATGGGACGTGTGGCTGAGCACCCTGTCCCCAGGGGTGCAGGGACACATCCCCTTGTACAGGGAGGCAGCAGGGACCAGCCTGCCGCTGCGGTGCTGGGTCGGGCTCCTGTCTTGTCCCAGAGACCTCTTTACTCCCCACTGCTCGGTGATTTTTTTTTTCCCCACGGCAGCTGTGTCTCTCCCCATAGATCCGGCTGCGGTGCCAGAAGGGGATCCCGCCCTCGCTGCGGGGCCGTGCCTGGCAGTACCTCTCCGGGAGCAAGGTGAAGTTGGAGCAGAACATCGGCAAGTTTGACGTGAGTGCCGCCGGGGACCTCGTTGCGCGGCCGGGGAGGGGGTGCTGGTGGAGGGGGGCAGTGCTGGGATGGCTCCTGCTCCCTCCAGGGCTGGGGCATCTGTTGGGGTCTCAGACGCTGCTTGTTCCTGCTTTGGGGAGGGGGGTGGGTGTCAAGGGAGCTGGTGTCCCAGCCCCATGACCTGATGGGACTCATGTTTGGGGCAGAGCTAGGTTCAGCCCCGTGGCTGCTCCGCCGTCTCCCTTGGGCTTGCTGGGGGCCCTGCGTGCTGAGTGGGGCTGGCACCATGCCGGCGTGGGGTGTTGCTCACCCCCACCTTCTCCTCCCCAGGAACTGGGTCTCCT